GGTTGGGAGTTCTAGACCAGCCTGACCAACATGGAGAGACCCTGTCTCTACTAAAAATACAAAAAATTAGCTGGGCGTGGTGGTGCATGCCTATAATCCCAGCTACTCAGGAGGCTGAGGCAGGAGAATTGCTTGAACCTGGGAGGTGGAGGTTGTGGTGTGCTGAGATTGTGCCATTGCACTCCAGCCTGGACAACAAGAGTGAAACTCTGTCAAAAAAAATGTAGGCTTGTTTCTAGTTTAGATTTCTATTCTGTTCTTGTTTAGAATAGACATTGGCCAGATATAAAATTGTGCTCTTCCTCTTCCTATTCTATCAAAGGAATTCCAAAACCAAATTCAGCTAAAAACCTAATGTGTTAATCATGGAGGTGACCACTTTCAAAACCCATGTGGAACAGCCTTAGATTGTAATGGCCACCCTTACAGATTTATCTATTTCCTGAGAATGTATCACACTTGTAAATATGTCTGGAAAGAACACATACTCCTATGACCTATGTGTTTGGTTCTTTATTGCTGTGTGACAAATTACTGCAAAACAAGGATCTATAAAATAACAGCATTTTATTCTCAATTTGTTGGTTAACTGGGCTCAGCTGGGTGGTTCTTATGCTGGTCTCTTTCAGGGTCAGAGAGATCAAGTGTTTGCAGCAAATGGTGACTGGGAGTGGAATCATCTGAAGACAGAGACACTGTGATGGTTCTCATATTCTTCATGCCATCTCAGGACTATTTCTTTCTATGTGGCTTTTCCAGATGAGTAGCTAGACTTCTTGTAGGGTGACTCAGGGCTCCCAAGAGTGAACATTTCATGAAGTAAGAAGCAAAAGTGACAGTCCTCTTAAAGGTTGGGCCTGGAATCAACATTATATTACTTCCTCTGCATCCTATAGCTTAACATGAGTGCCAGGCCAGCTCAGAATTCATTTGGAAGTGATCACACAAGTGTGTGAAAACCAGGAGATGGTTCACTGGGGGCCACCCTTGCAGAACAGCCATTATTGTCTTCCTTGTCAACCCCCACCAAAAACAACTCATCCCATATTTGACCACAGATTCATCAAACCCTGCTCACTCAACGCAGATCTAGTGCTGCTTCTTTTCTGGTCTGTCCTCTCCTCAATTTTGGTTCATATTTTAAGTTTTCATTTTCTGCTTTCCCTTCACAGCATCAACATTGACCATTTCCCCAGTTTTCAACTTCACTGAAAGCTCATAACGACTTCCACACTATTAACTTGAAATCTGATAGGAATTTGATCCAAATCCAAGTCAAATATTATTAAGTGAATTAACAAAATTGAGAAATGGTATAAGTAATATGATTATCTTTATTTAAAAGTATATAAATAAGTATGTATATGAGTACAGAGAACATATGAATTCACTAAATATATGGATTCACTAAAAATGTCAGCAGAGAGTTCCTCTAGGGAAAGTTTGGACTCTGGGAAAGGGGTAACAGATAACTTTATATTTTATCATCCTCTAGCTGTTAAAAAAAGATTTTCAATTAGTTTGTGGTTCTTTTATAATAAAAACTAATTTAAAAACATAATCCAAATTTAGGAAACATTTGCTGTACTTAGACCATGAATGAGGCCTTATTCTTGGGTTAGTGTTTTTATAAGTACTAATATATTTTTTGCAAATAACCCCACAGCTAATTTGATGTACTCAAAGATGTACACCAGGACCCATGCACACATTCATGAACACACGCTGCATGCACCATACACCCATAATTAAGCATTAAGTAGAAGTGTGCAGCATCCATCAAGCAATGGGCCAACCCTGCACAATGTTTATCAAATCCAAACTGGTACTGAAAAGTTAGTATTCTCAATTTTAAAACCAAAACAGCATGACTAAGCTCTTCTTTTATCCCTTCCTTTTTTTTTGTGCTGAGTATTGAGAAGCATCCTCTGGGATAGTCACCCCAGAGTCTGGCTCACTTAGCTAGATATGCAGTAGCTGAGAGCAGCCCAGCTAGGAACCACCCTGAGTGTTCAAGTGTCTCTCACCCATTGGTTGCCTATCTCCCAGAATGCCTGTCTCTACAAGGGGGCAGGATGCAGCCAATGGGCCATTCTGAGAACATGCTCTTTCTTGAAATGGCAATGTAATGTGCAGGAGGGTTTCAGAGCTGATCAATGACTGCACAGTGCCGTCAGGATGTACAGGATGTACAGTTATTTGACTCAGCTCAATAAATCTAAACTCTCTGGAGCAGGGAAAAGATCCCTACATTTTAAAAATGCTTGTTTAAAGAACCCTGTAGAGATTCTATGTCCTCTGCCCCAGCTCATTCCCCAAATGTACCACCATCATACTATTGCTAACACTCACACGAGTAGGATAGATTGTGAGTGGAAACATATTGGCATATTGAAAAGCCCATTGATCTGTAGCCTTCACTGAACCTAACATTCAGTCTGACAAGAGCTCTGAGTACTTCTAAGCACGTGCTTTTTATCTGCTTGCTAGGAGCCCGATTATCAGTCCTGACACTTGCACCAGTAGAGGCAGAAGGGGTGTTAGAGAGCATCTATCCAGTGGTTTTCTGAGATGATCCCCAGCGACCCATTCCCAAACAAAAGCCTCTGTGACCACAGCAGTGGGTGAGAAGTTATCTCTAAATAGGAGAGATGGTGGCAGGCAGGATAAACAAGACATTTTGTAGGAGCTAAACACTTCACACGCGCCATTCTATTTCTCATTGCAACAATCACATGGGGTCAGTTCTATGAATAGTCTCATTTTCAGAAGAAGAAACTAAGGCTCTAAGATGCTGAATAAGTTTGAGGCTAGGAATAAAGCGTGAGACTTTATGTAAAACAACCATAAAAACTCCACTTGTAGGCATTCCCACACATAATTTTGTTTGAACAAGATTCTACAGCCAAAATAGGATAAGTTTAAGAACCTCTGAACTAGTCTATCCATCTATTCTTTCCATTTTAGAGATGAAAGTTCTGATGCTTAGACGAAGAATAAAAGAACTTCTCAAGTCAACTCAAGGCCACTAAGCAATAGAGAGAGAAACTGGAGTTAGAATGCCTACAAGTAACAATCATAGTGGCAGCTAGTATTAGTTGATGGCATATTACGTGTCAGGTACTATGATTCTCAAATATGAGTTCGTTTAACCCTCAGAAGAACCATATGAAGTGGATTCTCTTTGAGTCCCCTTATCTCAGATGGGGAAACAGAGACATAGAGACTCTGTCACTCGCCTAAAGTCACAGAGCTACTGAGCAGTGGAGCCAGTTTCAAATTGAGGCCGTCTTGGGCGAGGGCCCAGGCTCATGACCAGGAGGCAATCCTGCCTCTGCTGAGTCAGCCCTTGAGGATAGAACTCAAGCTCCACAGATGAGTGCAGTGCCAGGTACAAAGTAGGTGTTCAGGAAACACCAGTGGAATGCAATGGACTTCATATTCTAGATGGTCTTCAGAGAACACTGAAATCTATGCATTCTCCTGTCATCAGCTGACCCTGTCTGCCTTGAATGTACCCCCATCAGTGACCATAGACGGTTGCATAACCAGGTGTCAAGGGCTATGCCTTCTCCAGGTTCCCCCTCCCATCTCCCTCTGAGCTGGGCTTGCTGCTTGTGACAGCAGGAGTTTCACTGACAAGCCCCTACACAGGGTTGAGGGGTGGAGAGGGCTCTGTGTCTGGGTGGCCACAGGAACTTCTGCAGAATCTCCAAAAGCTCTTGTACCCCACCTCCCATAGCCCTCACCTATTGTCCATGTCACAAGCACCATCCTCAAGTCTAGAAGTGCTGAGTGGCATGAGCCCTTCCTGCTGTACCGATGCCATGCAGGGTGGGCCCGGCGGAATTTTGAAGTTGGTAGTGGAGCTCAGTGGGTAAGGACTTGGTGTACAAAGTCAAATGAACGTGTGTTTTCTTACTTTAGTCTTACTTTTTTGCTTTTGGATAGATGGTTTGTAATTCTAGAGGTTCACGATGACGTAAAGTAAAGAATGAGACTCTTTCCATCTCGTTTCACAAATCTGGGTTTAAATGTCAGCTTTGCAAGCATCAGCCCTTGTTTTGCTGCTTCAGGCCTCCATTTCCTCATCTGCAAAATGAAGATAATATAGCAATTCCCTTGGAGGCTGGCAGTGAGTATTAAATAAGAGGAGGCCTTGATTTTGGCACAGTTCTGGAGCATTGGGAAATGCTTAATAAATGTTAGCACCTCTTAATAACTCTCTAGTATATCTCTTCGTGTGTGTGTTTCTTGCTGTAAGATCGGCTAGGACACAGAACCCCCCCACAGGCCTAAATTTATACATGTTGAATCTTATCTCCATGCAGCCATCTAGAAATACATTGTCATCTGGCAGACACATTTAATGTTGCACTCAATGTGTCTGTGTGTGTGTTTGCACAATTGTTAAGTGCATATAACAAAGAGGTGAGTGCACTTTTCCTTCAAGAAACTCAAATTGTTTGTAAAACCTTTAATAGAGATTAAATAGCTGATAATCAGCTTTTACTGTGTTGTTGACTCTTTCAACATTTGTCTTAGTGATCTTCTCTGAAACGATGTGTACAGATTGTAGGATTCACTTCTTTGGCCGACCGTGGAAAAATTCTCCCCGTGCTTTAGTATCTTCCAGGGTAAAAAGGATGAGGCAGGAGCAGTTGGCTGTAAGTCCCTCTCTTTGTCCCCCCAGCCGAGTCTCTCTGAAATGTCTACCAAATAGCGGCAGGACACTCTGCTGTCTTCATTTGTGGCCACTCCAGTTTTCTTTTTTCTTTTTTCTTTTTTTTTTTTTTTTACTAGGCAAAGAACTTTATCAACCTTTGTTTCAAACTTGATTCCCAGGCTTCTTCGACTTAATTAGCTGCAAAGAATGAATTGTGTATAAGCAAAAACTGAAAAGAGCTGCAGTGTCCAAGGGGCTTGGGCTTAAAAATATTAGAGATCCAGATTTTATCAGATCCATAAACAAAAATTTCTTAAAAAGCAGTCATAATATAAAATAGCAGCTCCCAGTAACTTCTTCAAGTTTTATCTTCAGAAGTTGACTCAATTCAGTTTGCCTCATTCTTGGAAGCCTCATCAAAATTCTCCACAAGATCTGGAACTTCATCATCATCATCCTCTCCAGTAGCAAGTGGTGCTTTTCCATCCACAGATTGTTTGGGCAGAGCTTCGGCCAGTCTGCTTAAACTAGTCAGACTATCTGCGCCAAGCTGGTTTAAGATGCTAGGTAGCATTTCTGTCAGCTGCTTCGTCTCAGCATGGCCTGTAATGGTTAAAGTGTTCGCTGCCAGAGATGCCTGAACTTTAGGGTTGTTAAAGTGGATCACTGTTCCTTGGTTTGTAAACATATTCACCTCTTCAATACCGGAGATATTGTTTACCACCGGAGATATTGTTTACCCCTAACTTCTTTAAGGAGAACTGAAGTTTTTATCATCTGCTGTGGCTGTTCTATGAACCACCTTCTTCTTTCTGCGAGCAGTTCCTTTCCCACCAATGCGCACTTGTGCCTGCAGTTTGGCGAGTTTTTCCTGGTTCATGATTGTTTCTTTCATCTTGTCGGAGCGAATAAGGGGCCTCGCGGGGGACTAGGGTTGGTGCTCAAGGGGTCTCGGGTGGACCAGCTGAGATTAGGCGCACACACGCGGGGACGCAAGATGGCAGCTAAAGGGAGGCCCTCTTTTTTTTTTTTTTTTTTTCCTTTTTTTTCGAGATGGAGTCTTGCTCTGTCATCCAGGCTGGAGTGCAATGGTGTGATCTCAGTTCACTGCAACCTCTGCCTCCCAGGTTCAACAATTCTCCTGCCTCAGCCTCCTGAGTAGCTAGGATTACAGGTGTGCGCCACCACACCCAGCTAAATTTTGTATTTTTAGTAGAGACGGGATTTCACTATGTTGGTCAGATTGGTCTTGAACTCCTGACCTCATGATCTGCCCACCTCTGCCTCCCATAGTGCTGGGATTACAGGTGTGAGCCACCGCCTGGCCACCGCTTCACATTTCTATTGCTGGCCTGAGAAATAGAGGTAGTTTGGAAGTAGCTTGCACCAATTCAAATAGCATGGATAATACCAGGTTCAACATCTGCTACCTTTGGGATCTGGGATGAATGATTCAACCTCACGAACTAATACTACTGGCAGCTAGTATTTGTTGAGAGCATATTTTGTGTCAGGTACTATGATTCTCAAATATGAGTTCATCTAACCCTCAGAACAACCATATGAAGTGGGTTCTCTTTGAGTCCCCTTATCTCAGATGGGGAAACAGATACCTAGAGATTCCATCACTTGCCTAAAGTCACAGAGCAGTGGAGCCAGTTTCAAATTCAAATATTTCTCATCCATAAAATCAGAATAAGAGTAGACCCCTTCACGGGGCTCAGGTTTGTGTTAAGACAATATGAGCCTGTGTATTTGGTAATTTTTCCTTCCCTTAGACCAGTGATTCTCAAAGTGTGCTTTCCAGACCACCAGCAGCAGCAGCAGCTGGAAACTTGTTAGAAATGCAGATTGTCAGCCTCACCCCAGAGCCACAGAATTAGAAACTATGCAGGAGGGGCCCAGCAATCTGAGTTTTCACACACCCTTCAGCGATTCTGATAGACCTCAAATTGGAGAATCATTTCCTGAGAGGGTTGTCACTTTGCACCTCATACAGGAAGTCCTGCTTGAAGGAAACGTCTTTTCCATGCCTCCGAGTCTTGCTCAACTCATGGATTTTCCCATGGAACATGTCCCTTGCCCTTTTGTACTCCTTCTCTTCACTGCCAACTCCCACGCAAATTTCAGATATTTATTCAGAAGTCACTTTCTCCAGGAAGCATTGCCTGCACCACTGTGGCTGGTTTATTCAGAAGTCACTTTCTCCAGGAAGCATTGCCTGCACCACTGTGGCTGGTTTATTCAGAAGTCACTTTCTCCAGGAAGCATTGCCTGCACCACTGTGGCTGGTGCCAATGTTCCTGAAGTCTCCGTATTTCTCTTCTGCCTCTACCAAATGGGATAGTGCTGCAGACTAAGTTATCCATTTCCCTAACCAAACCATAAGATTCCAACAGGCGGGGCTCGTGTTAATTTTGTCCCCAGTTATGAGCAGGTGATCAGTAAATCAAGAGACAACTTTTTTTTTTTTTTTTTTTGAGATGGAGTCTCGCTCTGTTGCCCAGGCTGGAGTCTTATGGTGTGATCTTGGCTCACTGCAACCTCTGCCTCCTGGGTTCAAGCGGTTCTCCTGCCTCAGCCTCCAGAGTAGCTGGGACTACAGGTGCACACCATCACGCCCAGCTGACTTTTGTATTTTTAGTAGAGACGGGATTTCACCATGTTGGCTAGGCTGGTCTCCGTCTCTTGACCTTGAGATCTGCCTGCCTCGGCCTCCCAAAGTTCTGGGATTACAGGCGTGAGCCACCATGCCCGGCCAAGGCGACAGTTTCAAACACCCAGCCCTAAGGAGACAGCTTCTTGGCCTCCCGACTGCCTTTCTTCATCAAATCTTTTCAAACATCTCAGCACACACACACTTTTGCCCTTCTCTTACCTCCGTGCTGCATAGGATCTGACCCAGGGAAGTAGTCTCTGAGCAGTAATGACAAACCATCTCTAATAGGCATGAGATCCTTTTGATTTTTTGAAGCCTGTATCCCAACCTATGTTAGAAATATCAGAAAATCAGAACCAATTTGTGATTTAAAAAATTTCTCTAATAGTTTTCTCTTAGCATCTGGCAAATAGATGTTTGGAAAAATAACGATGGGACAAGATAGTGTCTAAAAGTCCAGCAAACTTTGTTATACATGGTAAAGGTAATCAGATTGCAAGTGAAGGCATAGTTTTATTGGGGAAAATTAGGAGAAAATTAAAAAACCCCTCTATATATAACCAAAACTGGGAGGGATAAAAATAAAGGGTAGATATAAGAAAATGTAACGCTGGGTGAGTTCTTCGAATTAACGCAAAAAACATTTACTGAATTCATATTAGAAGTTGGGAAACAATTGATTAAATGACTGAAAGTCATGGAAGAGATGCTATGTACAAACCACTGTGTGCTAACATCCGGGACCTGTCCTCACGGATGGCATAGTTTAGGGAAGGAATGACACATAACAAGTAATTTTAATAAGAGTTCACATCTGCACCGGCGATTATGAGCTGGTGGAGCAGAGAATCAGTCTGGGAAGGCTTCCGGGAAGAGGAAAAACATTCTGTAGAGGGTTAACAGTGAGGACAAAGGTGGGAGACATGTCACATCCAGATGAGAAAGCTGTTCTTCGTAGGATAGTCCCCAGGCATGAGCCGCTCTGTGAGATGGTGAGAGATTGAATGAGCACTGCAGGGGAGGTCTTGGCTCTAGAAGGGCAGATCTGAGAGGGGGCCCCAAGTTCTTCTTCCACTCACCACTCCCCGCTCATGTTAGGAAGAGAGCTCCTTCCTGTTGTAGGTTTAGGCCAGTGACTCTCAAGCTTGAGTGTCTGTCAGAAGCCCTGGGGGTTGTGGGGTGGTGGTGTTAAAATGCAGATTGCTAGGCCCTCCCCCTAAAGTCTCTGATTGACTGTATCTGGGGTGAGGCCTGGGGATTTCATGTTCAGCAAGTTGTCAGGGGATGCTGCCAGCCCAGGGAACCCCAGTTGGAGATCGGCTGGCCTTGCTATTCCCCAGAGACATCAAGTCCCAGCTGAGAGTGTTAGAGCAAGGATAAGATTGTAAAACACAGCCCGTTGCTCACCAAATCCCTGGCACAGGCCTTGTGCACACTCTGAAAGTGTGTCTAAACCACACAGTCCCACTCTTGCCTGCCAAAGTCAGGTATCTTACAGCAAGGCCAGGGGTGGGGGGTCCCCACCCAACACTCTGCAGAGCTTCACAGCCCCAAGAACTCACCCACAGAAAGATCGTTCCAGGCCTTAAAAGGTACATCTAGATACCTAGGTCTTGGCACCTGTTGAAAGGAATCCTGCCTGCGTTAATGATTCCACCCCAGTGAGTGACTCCAAGAGGAATCGTGGTGGCTAATTATGAAGCTCCTCGCCCGCAACCAGATTCCAGATTGGGAAGCCCTGGGTTCTAACTGTGCCATTAACTCTGATTAGGCGTGTGTGGTCCTTTATTCTTGTTGCTGCTGACATCCTAATCTGAGTTTCTTCAACTTTGAAGTGGGGATGAGGTCGCTTTATTGTTTCAGGAACGGATACACGGTTGCTGGTTATTAAAGGCTAATTAGTACATGATAAGTGCAATTAGAGGGTCGGAGCGGACTGCTAAACCCCGCCCAGCAGTGAAGCTGGCCATTCCGAGCAAAACCAGTTCTCCCAGCTCAAGAGAGAATAATTGGGAAGTAAAACAAGTCTTGAAGAGCTTGTTTGTTGCTGAGGCCAAGTTCCAGCTGTTTAGAGTTTACACCTTTCTACATTTTATATTTGCTTTATTTCTTATTTTTTCCTCCTCCCCAAAGACATTGACTGGAACACCTTGGGATGTAGCTTGCAAGATACACCCTGAGCCCACTTGAAGAGGAGGACCCAGCTTGGGACGCGAATCGGCTGCCTGCTTAGCTGGTGGCTGGTTTTGCTGTAGCAATAAAAACCCTAAGGCCTGGTGGCACGCCTTGCTTCAACCACCCTGGGATCTCGGTTCTGAGGTCTCTGAGGTCTCCAAGGTTTCCTTGACTTTCCCTAATAGGCACGAGAAGGCTTCTGCAACTGGGTGTGGTGGCTCACACCTGTAATCCCAGCCAGGGTGGGAGGATCACTTGAGGCCAGGAGTTCGGGACCAGCCTGGGCAATATAAAGAGACCCTGTCCCTACAAAAAACTAAAAAATTAAAAAGTTGTCCCAGTGTGGTTACAAGCCCCTGTAGTCCCAGCTACTGGGGAAGCTGAGGTGGGAGGATCACTCGGGCCTAGGAGTTCAAGGCTGCAGTGAGTTAGGACTGTACCACTGCACTCCAGCCAGGGCATCAGAGCCTGCCTCTAAACAAAGGGCTTCTGCCACTCCAGGCTTGACGACTGCATCCCAGGCAGGCAAAGAAGAAGGAACAGACGGTCTGAACCTGTCCCACCTCTTCTAGGAAAGTGAGTGTGTTCCTAACAGCACACGCCCTCTCCCAACAGAGTTTCCCTTAAACTTCACTGACAATCCTGTGGCATGGTTAACCCGGCTGCAAAGGGTTCTGGGAGAGTGAGCATTTCCCAGGGCAGTGAGCACCTTGCTGTTCTGGACAAAATCACAGTCTGAGCAGAGAAAGGAGAGAATGAATTTGAACTAAGCGGCTCCCCATATCCATCCAACAGCTGAGCTCAGAGGCAGACAGCACTAGGGTGGAAAGCTCTGCAGCCCACAAGTTGCTCAACTCGGGTTCTCTAACTTTCCAGCTTCCTTATCTGTATAATTATAGAAACAATCCACCCATACCCCTTCCAGGGGCATCTGTGAGGCTTAAGTGATGTCACGTATAAAAGCCCTCCATACAGTGTCCAGAACACAGTGTGTGTTCTGCAAAGAGTAGCTATTGGAGTTAGTGCTGGGAGTCACAACCTTCCCCTTGATTCCACCAGCCCTGCTGGGCCCCTCAGTGCTTTGCTCTGCCATTTCCCAGAGCCCTGCTGGAAGACCAGGAAGAGTGCCTGCAGCCGCTGTTGTTATTTGAGCACAGGCCTTCCTGCAAGCTGGACTT